GTGCACACCTCAGGGAGACCTCAGAGGCGGGCTCATTCATCACCTGTCTCAGCGCATTCCCCATGACCAAAGCGAGAAGCAATTGTGCTCTTTTGTGGCTGGTGTTGTCTCTGTTTTTTGCAACTCTAGTTTGCATCTCTCTACCTCTTTCTAACACCCACACACCCACCCACACACCATTCTAAGAGCTAACTCAAACGCTGAGGGCCAACTATACCAAAAACCAGACCATCAAGAATTGTGGAGGAAAGTATCTACATGCTCCATCAGGTTTGCAGAATTACCATTTTTCTAAAAAAAAGCAAACACCCTAAGAGGGCAAACAGCCCACTGGGGATTGAGCATGGTTGGTAGGCATAGGAGCATCAGTTGTGAAGCTGCAGCAGGACAGGGGATGCAGGAAGGGTCTAAAAGAGCATAAACCCAGCCCCCACCTGAAAGGCATGGCTCAGCTCTGATGGGTCTTCCTAACCCAAACTCTGGTGGGCAACAAATAGTAGCCCATGGAAGTGGAAGACTTCTGTCACCTTTCTAACCATCAGTTCATTTGCAAGCATTGCTGGTAGAGCTGACATTATAGGGAGCCAGAGCAAGGGCACAGGCAGAACCAAATTTGCAGCATTCATCAGCAGGGGCTGGTCCATTACGGCAAGGAGGGCACTTCCCCACCCATCCCGGTCTGCACTCAGCCAACCCCACACCTGCCTGCTTGCCTGCCTTCTTTCTTACAAGCAGCCCAGGAGGTGGCTCTGGATGTCAACACCCTCCTCCTCAATGTTGCCCTTGTTGGTTTTAGTAGGGAGCAGCAGGGGGACAAAACCAGAGCCAATTGGCTCTGCCTGTCATTGGCTCTGGTGCCACCTACTGTTGGCCTCCTGCCTTCCAAACAATGATCACCAGCCAGTGTGGGATTTATCCAACCAGTTCCACTAAATTCTAGTCTGGAACTTATACATATCATGTTTTCCTACAATAACTAGGCAAAGTTGGTTTCAGGTCTTCCCTAGCCAGTGTGTGTGCAATTTAAATTTTTGATACCTAGAGCAGCCAGATACTATTAACACCCTCCAACAAAGACAACAGTTTATTCCTCCCCTCTCAAATATAAGGCATAAAAGAAGAAGCACTTTGCATAAAGCTACAACACCACCATAATGTGCTTCCCGTCCACACACAGATGTAAAGTACACTCACACTCATCAAACCTTCTGTTACTCAAGCAACCTTGTCAGGAATCCATGAGTCAAGCTGGGACCCCCGCCTCCTCACACAACACCATCTGTAGGGTTTGGAATAAAAGATTCTGTGGTTCATACCATAAATATGGAACCAAGGAAAACAGGGTGAGAGAGAGAGAGAGAGAGAGAGAGAGAGAGAAGATTGATCCAAAGTTTGCCTCAGAAAGGGCCCAAGTTGTGTGATATTGCACTGGCATTTCATTTTTAAAAAATAGAACTGGAATCTTAATAAAAACTGGGCTGTGGGGGTGGGAAATATCTAGGTGGTGGGAATTATTTTGATATTTTTTCATGCAATTAAGGAGGGTGAAATCTGAGCATTGTCATACAGAGTGCTGACAAAGGAAAAATAAAATGAACTTTTGGGTTCCATATTAGTAACTTTTATTGTGCTTTCTCCCATATTCACAGATTGTTGTCCTCTTCTTGACTCATTTTTCATCTTGGCAACACAAGCCCACACTTCTTAAGCTTTTCAAATTTGAGGAGGAAATTACAGGCAACTCCCCACTCGTCAGTGTTCGCACTGTGTGTGACGCAAACAAAACACATGAGAAGGGGTGGGGGCAGAGCAGGCCAGAATGGACTTGTACATGGAGACCTGGAATGGAACCCCCATGCAAGTGGGGATTCCCCTGTAATTCAAATTCTCCTGAATTCCGCATGAACCTGAGAAATTTCTGAAATTAATTTTGAAGTTACAGCAGTCCCAGTTTACAACAGCTTTCACCTGATGTTGCCAAGGTGCTCCTGTGGGCCCATTGGCCTCTTTTAAACTGGGGATGGACAAATCCTTCCATTTCTGCTTCTCCGAGTTTCTATTTTTCCTGTCTTAAATTCACTTATCCACATTACTGTAACAATTTGCAATTTATTTACTTAACCCCCCCCCCCCCGACTTCACATTACCTTGGTGTTTGGGAGAAATAGCAGCAGTTTCCAGGAGTGCAGGAGGTGGGGAATGACTTGCATCTTCAGTTGCAGATTTCACCTTCCTTGTCTCGCCAAAGAGAGCTGGAATTTCCATAACTGGGCACAGAAATGTTAACGAAACAAGACCACCCACCATATGTCCTTTGCAGAAGAGTCCTAAGGAGGGAGGATCTAGGTAATGCCCCAGAGGAATGAATTATGCATTCCTTGGTCAATAGCACATTAGCAGGCTTTTGAAACAAATTTAAAATTTGAGCTTCAGAAAGTCAAAACTGAGAGATAAAGATATCAAGGCTCCTAATCTGATCTTGTTAAACTCTAAGCTGTGTTTTATCAGTGTTTCCCCCCATGATAAGTTCAATCACAGGCTCTATAATTGGGTGTCTTGGGCAACCTCGTGTATTTTGTGACAATTGCCAGAGGGATGATGCACTGCCTTGTCTCATCCCTAATTCTGCCAGCATTGATAAATGTACTCAATCCCACCAACCACCACCAACATAGTCAAGAAATACTTTATCTGGCAACTCTGAGCTTTGGGCGACTATTTTGTTGTATGCGGGTAGCATGGAGGATTTGTGCTGACATCGAGCAGTGGAGGGGTGGGGGCTTTTCATGTTGCCAGCAGTGAAAGCTGCATTGTGGCTCCTTCCCACATCACAGAGTTAACATGAGGATCCCTGCGCACATGTAAGGAAAGGAAAGGGCATCACAACCATTCCAGACATCATGCAGAGAGAGGCTGTGGACTGAAATGGTAGAATTTTGGAATGTACCACTTTGGACTGCAAGGGGCATATTACTGAACTTTCAAGTGAAAAAAGAACTACCGTAACTCATCAAAGAGAGAGCTGCACAAAACATTGGCAAGGCAAGACAAGGCCTGCTTAAACTGAAGAGCTGGCTTGAAAGGACCAGGTTATATAGGTCCTGATCTGAGATCATGGTGAGATCAGCTGAGCATTTCAGGCTGATAGCAGTCAGGCCAGTCCTGCAACCAGAGGATGATCTGGACTCATATGCCCTTGTCTGAAAGGTGCAAGAGATAAAGTGCTGCAGTCTGCCTGTTGGAGATCTCGAGTTAAGAACACACACCCAGCACTTTACATGCAAAAATACACAACCCCTGGCCTCCTCTACCTCTGTCACATATCCATGCAGGGAGGTTTTTTGGTGGAAGAGAATTTTAAACCTTCATCACATTTACGTCACACCTTTACTACATGAAACTCAGGTTGGCATCAGTGGGGCTCTGATTCAGTCTCTCATCTGGACTCATTCTGGACCCAAACCTGCTTATCTCAAGACAGGTTTCTTCCTTCCAATTCGTTTTGTACAGCTTAGCTCTGCCTTGCTCAGGTTCCCCCCTTGTAGCCAAGCTTTGCTAAGATCCCAACACCAGGCATTAGGTGTTACATGCCTCATTGCTGGCATTTTGCCACCCCAAAATCCAGCCACTTCCTGGCGCCTGGCATTTTGCACTTTAGAGATGGTGACATTTCATGCATGACTTTTGTACATTAAAGAAACTGGTATTTCACACCATGGGGACGGTGGTATTTGCAAACCGGGGCACTGGTATTTCATGCATTGTTACCACCCAGCAATTTAAACAAGGCCACTGAGCTGTAAAGATCAAATGGGCCATTTTTGAAGGGGGTGGGGTGGGAATTGTAGAAGATATAAGGGAGGTAAATGTCCCCAAGTACCCATAAATATCAATTTAAATTGATATGCGTGTGTGTATGCACACACACACACACACAGAGAGAGAGAGAGAGAGAGAGAGAGAGAGGGGTTTGCAGCCATACTAATTTATTTGCCGTTAGCTCCCTCAAAATCAATGGGGCAGAAGTTGTGGTTAAATTGTTGCACTGATGTCAATGGCAACACAGGGTAACTAACTTACAGTACAAGCCTGTAAGTCCTGTTGTTTTCAGTGGGGCTTCCTCTCAGGCTACTCTGCATAGGATAGGGGCCCTGGGCACTTCCAGTGTCTTTGCGTGACTTAAATATGTCTTTGGAGTCTGATAATGCCTTCAGATTGTCTGGACGGAGGATACAGAGGGAGGTGTGAATGTGCATATAAACTACTTTGCACAAAAGTAAAATTAACATCTGTTGCTCTGCCCACTTTTATCTGGCCCCACCCACCACTCCCTTTTATGGTTCCAGGGAAGCCCCAAACACAGCTTCTGTTCCAGCACAGAAGAAGAGATGCCACTGCTTTTCCAGCTTCCAACATCTCTCCAACTCACACAACTATCACAGAGACAGCCCCCCTTGGCCCATTGTTCTCCATCCTAGACTTCTGTTCAGAACAGCAGCCTGGTGTCCAGATCAAGGGAAGTCATAGTACCACTCTCCTCTGCCTTGGTCAGACCACACCTGGAACAATGTGTCTAGTTCTGTGCACCGCAATTCAAGAAGGATGTTGATAAACTGGAACGTGTGCAGAGGAGGGTGACCAAGATGATCAAGGGTCTGGAAACTAAGCCTTACGAAGAACAGTTGAAGGAGCTGGGTATGTTTAGCCTGGAAAAGAGGAGACTGAGAGGAGATTTCTTCAAATATCTCAAGGGCTGTCACATGGAAGATGGAGCCAGCTTGTTTTCTCCTGCTTTGGAGGATAGGACATGAACCCGTGGCTTCAAGTTACAAGGAAGGAGACTCTGACTTAAACATTAGAAAGAACCTTCTGACAGTAAGAGTTGTTTGACAGTGGAACAGTCTCCCTTAGGAGGTGGTGGACTCTCTTTCCATGGAGGTTTTTAAGCAGCCGTTGGATGGCCATCTGTCATGGATGCTTTTTTTTTTTTTTTTTAAGAAGATATTTATTGAAAAAAGGATTTTCTACAAAATTTTATACAAAAAATAAAAAATAAAAAAAATAAAAAATAAAAAATAAAACCATCATTCTCAAATTCTCCACTTTCAATACCTTCTTTCCTTGACCTCCTCCTCCTCCCTTTTCCTGTATCCTATTTTATAATAATCACAGCAAATCCTTTCCATAATTCATAATATTCTGTCATCACATTACCTTAATCTATTTTCATCTTATCTTATAAAAAAAAAACCTTAGAGTTTAAAACTTAAGTCTTAATTTTTTATCAACTTCTCCTTAACCATAGCATTCTTGCCTAATTCTTTTAACATTTTTATAAGAGCCAAATAAATTCATTTCAGCATTTTGCTAACATTCATCAATTTTGTAAAACAGTCCTAATGATAAAAATAAAAAGAAAGAATCCAGTCTTCATCCAACGTCCTTTTCTCCTGGTCCCGGGTTTGTCAGTCCTTTTTATCCTATTAATCTAGCACATTAACCTGGCAGTCTTATGTCCGAGGCCCTTAAGTCACTTCCATGTCCCTTCCATAGCTCTTCTTTATATTTACCTTTTATTCGTGGGAACTCCAGCTTGGTAGTGTTTTTGATCTTTTTCAACAAAACAGTCCCTTTTCCATAGTCCAATCCAGGCTCAATGTAAAATTTACAAGCATATTCCAGATTCCCTTCAAAGTTAGGAGCCCCCACAACTCCAGACATCTGACGGCCCCTTTCCAGACTTGAAAAGACAAAATCTCCCTGTGGAGGGGGGTCTATCCAGCCCCCCATTTCCAAACCGAACCAGATTTTATCTTTCCAAGTCTGATTTTTTCCAAGTTCATTTGTCAAGTCCAAAAGTTTGTAATCCTGCTGGGCCGCAGCTCCCTCCGTCTCTGGCGCCCAAGATTCAGCAAAATCCTCTTCTCTCAGTTGTTCTGTCATGGCACGCTCCTGTTTTGATTCCTGAGTGGGCTCCATATAGTTTCCCACTACCTGCTCAAAGGATCTGGCCGCATTAGTCATGAAATCCATCTTCTGGCTTAACTGATCCAATAGGGTATTTATTTTACAGAAAGCACCCAACAGTGCTTCTGAAGACATTGTTCTGCAAGGTCACAAAGTCCTTTCCCACAGTTGTAATCAGTGACAGCTGCAAGTTCCCAGGAATTCCCAGGAATTAGTTACAATTTCACAATTCCCCTCTCGGGGAAAAGCTTCTAGTTGTTCCTTCTCTTGAAAACAATAGCAACAAAGTTTCTTTTTTACGATACTTTGTCCATATTTGTTCTTTTAAAAAACGAAAGGAAACAATGGAGTAACTACGTTTCTCTTCTTTAACTATCTGTCAAAAGCATTTGTTTCTGGTCAATGAGCTTCAAACGTCAATTCTGACACCCCTCTCCAGGGTCAGGGCGATGGAAAAATACTTTACTTTAACTTCATTTCTGCAGGTTTAAACAACTCAGAAAGAGTCCCCCTTCTTTTCCTGCTACCGAAGGGGGATTCAGCGGTTTTAAATGGTGAAAGTCGATCCTTTACAAGTGGTTTTTTAAGGCTCTAGTTTGCGTTGTCTTTGCTTTGTTCCGGCTACAGGGAAACGGAAGGGTGACTTCCTGTTTGATCCTTTCCATTTCAGTACCAAATTAGAGTAAATTTTAAGTCCAAATTCCTTTTAATTTCACCAGTTCTTTATTTGAAGTCCAAATATTCAATGTTCCAGTACTCACGGTTGGTTGATTTAAATGCCAAATTGTCCCAGGAAAAAGGCAGCGCTCTCCGGCGACGGCTATGCGGCTTCGCTCCGCAGAAAAGCAGTTGACTCACAGCACCGCGCCACTTCCCCCTCTTCACTTCGGAACCCGTTTATGGGTTCCTTTGTGGGTTGGGGGGGCGCTAAGGGTGCCCGCCGAGTCCCACGGTCACAGGCTTCATCCGCCTGTGATTTCCAGAAGGGTCCCCGCTACGCCGCAGCGGAAAAGACCCGTTTCATGCGGAGCTGGTCCCTCCAGTTCAGAGGGAGTCCACCATCGCCGGTGGCGCCACCCCGGAAGTCCTGTCATGGATGCTTTAGCTGGGATTCCTGCCTTGCAGGCGGTTGGGCTATATGACCCGGTACCTTCCAACTCTACAATTCTTGGTGAGGTGGGAAAAGGCCCACCCATTTGTCTCTGTGGCAACAGAGCTCACTGTTTAAAGTACAGAAGATGGGTGCTTAGCTGACCAGCTAAGGTCATTCCTTTGGCAGTCAAGCTAGTCTGGTAGGTCTCCTCTTATAAATATCCTCACAGATATAGGATCACAGGTCTGGAAGGGATCTTGGGGTCATCAAGATTGACCCCCCAAAAAAAACCTCATACAGTGGTCCCTCTGGATACACACACTTCTGGTTGTGTATCCTTCAGGATGCGAACGCAGCAAACCCGGGAGTATTTTTCTGGGTTTCACTGTGTGTGCATGCACAGAAGCACTCTACATGCCGCGTGCATGGGCAGAAGCACTCTACCATGCTGTGCGCATGCGCAAAAGTGGCACCTCTGGTTGCGAATTCCTCGGGATCTGACTGGAGCTCTGGAATGGATCCCGTGCGCAACCGGAGGTACTACTGTAATCCTATCAATGTTCTGCCTTCTTTTGCATTTCTTCCAAGGGCCTGCCAGCCCCACCATTCCCTTTGCTGAGTAATACCAATCTATATGTAGCATCATGTGGCTCAGTGGCAGGCAAACATTTCAGAATCACTCAGGGCAAAAGAGTAATCTTAAACCAAGGAACAGAGAAAAAAGAACATCTAGGCGTGTGAGAAAATTAACACCAAAATAGCCTGCAACTTAGCTAAAATGCTGACTTGGCTGGAGACAGAAAGTGCTATGTCAGGCCAAGACACTCAGCATTACCAGGAAAACAATTGCAACAACGAATTTGTTGGAAACAGGTATTTTTACTCTCAGACAGACAGCAAAGCTTTTTATTTCACAGCATCTGGATCCTCTTTACTGTTCAGTGACAGAGGGCTACATGCTTTCCTTTAAAGGTGAAAAACAAACCCTGGCTTTTCAGCTTATAGCTACTTACTATAAGCTTGTGTGCATGTCAGATAGTTTTAAAAGAAAAAGAGACAGAAAGATTTCCTTGCTGAATCTCTCCCAAGACCCATCTTCACTGACCCCACAGGGGAATCTAGGAAGCAGCTTTATACAAAATCTGCCCATTGGCCTATCTAGATCAGTATTGTCTACACTGACTGGCAACAGTTCTCCAGAACTGCAGAGTCTGAACCAAACCTACCTGGAGATGCTGGGGACCTTCTGCATTCAAAGCAGATGCTCTACCAATTAACTACGGCCCTTCCCCTCAAAGCACCCAGTTTGGAGTCTGTGCACTGGGATCAAGTTTCCGGGACAAATTCACATCTCTTAGGGTTGGCTCTACCATGAGGCAGGTGAGACGGGCACTTCAAGTGGAAGCTGCTGGTGAGTGGGTGGCAGCTCTCCTGGCCATTCGTCTAGGTGTGTGCCACTCAGCCTGCTTTGCACCTGCTACACCAGCCTGGCACCCAGAGGTGCAGCGGAGAATGGTGCCCTTTTCTATTAGGATAGGGAAAGGCTGTAGTTCAGTCTTAGGGCACATGGTCTTGGGTTCAGTACCTGGCATCTCCAGCTAGAGAGGGGCTAGGTCCTGGGGCCAAGACACACACTGAATTTGAGCAGGATGAACTATCAGAATTCATAACCTAAACATGGGAGTGGCAAACATCTCTCTCTCATGCTTTCCACGCCTTTTGCATCTACCTGATTTTTCAGACCAACTTGCCCTGAGCTGGCCAGGAGCCCCTTTCCTTGCCTGGAGCCATCATTTATCTGTTGGAATATCCTTTTGGAGCTACAGTGCCTAAGTGAATAAATGCCTGTCTTAACAACAGTAATCCAGTTTGGCTCTGATCTAATGCTAATCAATCCCACTGCTGCAGAGTTGGCTAATAGTGTTGAAATAAGTCGATGTCCAGCACTCACCTTGAGAAGCTCAGGGAAGGAAAGCAGGGAAGAGCTTGAGATGTTGACTGTCCATTGATTGACAGTGAAGGTCCAATTTTCTGAGTGCTGCCTTAGAATAGCTAGTCAATATTTCCTTCTCCCTTTCTGCCTAATTTTAACCAAATGAACCATGTTGAATGAGACACCTGTCAGCCACCTTCTTTAACAAGATCTCGCTGAAGGGAGGACAAGAACTAGGTGTTCCCGCAGAACCTCATACTATGCCCTGTCCTACCTTGGGCAGGCTCCATAATCAAGTTGGCTTCTTCGCATGCTAAGTGATCTAGGGGTTACTCCGTCTGCTGTTTTTAAAATATGTTGCTTCATTGTCTATGTATTGCACAACAAATGGCACTACAGGCATTTATAGTGCATCTATAAAACAGCATACAAATTCTTATTCAACAAATATTCATTTTGCTTGAGAAGAACTATTGATTAATGTGAAGAAACGGCTGTGTAACTGCAACTGGCCTCCTTTTCTAAATAAATCTACTCTTCCAAACTTGGGTGGATGTCAAATGGTACTTCATGGAAGTTCTTTAACCTTGATATTTGATTTGAATTAGCTGACCCTTTTTAAAAAAATTAACATCTTTATTGGTTTTTCAATTGATTTACAACCATCCTTTTCATACACATCAGCAATCACAATAAACAACTGAAATCTCTCAACATTCCACCATTGAACATGTATGCATAAACAAAAAGGGGAAAAATTATCTACTTATTGTGTTATTACTTTGTTTGCACTGAACTTCCTTCCACCTCTTACTTGGGTCCTTAGAATTCCATGTTGTATGGAATTTCCAATTGTATCTAATCTTCTATTAACCATCGTTTCCACTATTTATACTAGTTGTTTTTACAAGAGTCATTATAGCCCAGTCAAAATATTGCTGCAGTAGTCTTTCAGATATTTTTAAAAATTACTACAATTATTGTTAAATTTTTGGTACTCTTGTGTCAGGAGCCCAGGCTGCCGTCTTGATAACATAGCACACAAGTCATAATTAGCTTGAAGATTTATTGCAATACAAACAATTAGCCTTGGGCGTATAACCGAATGTCTGTGGCTTATGAATCAGTTGACCCTTCTGAAGAATACTTCCTGGTTCTGCAGAATATCCTGTACCTATAACCCTTACGCTTCCAGGTTTGCTTCCTGTCTAATATCTTTCCCATATGATGACTCCTTGGGCTCAGATGATTAATTGCCTCCTCTTCCGGTGAGGAAATGCTATGTCGCCTGCTTTCCAAGTCTGCCTGCGTGTCTTGAGCAAGCTGACTTCTCACCCACCCACTCTCTGCTAGCTCCTTATCAACATTCCATTCTGTGTCAGAGAGAGGGGGGGTGGAGGACTCATGCTGACTCATGCTGTATTTCTCTACTTGGGGCAGATGTGTTCATAACACCTTGGTCTCTTAACTGCCCTGTCAGCTTATCCATCTCCACATATTCCATCAACTTCACTTGCCTGTCCCTCTTCATTGGAATTTGGTCTCCTTTCCAGTTTTGTGCTATCAATACTCTCGCTACTGTGGTGGCATACATAGATAACTTCTTCATATCTTTGGGGATCTCATCCCCCATGATTCCTAAAAGGAAAGCTTCCGGCTTTTGGGGAAATGATAATTTAAACATCTTTTTAAACTCAGTGTAGATTGTATCCCAGAATTCTCCTATTCTTTTTACATCTCCACCATGCATGATACATGATCTTTTTACCATGATTCATGAACTCTCTGTGTACTCTCACCTTACCATAACATAGGTAGGCATGCCACCTGAATCGATTGTTGAAACCTTTTAAGTCTAGCTGTGATGGCCTGGGAATCCGATTCAGAGGCTGAACTGGAGGAATCCCAGCCTGCACAGGAGTCCCCGCCTCCAGGGCCAGCTGAACTGGGGCAGGGCCTTGATTCTGAAGTGCCTGCACCTGTGCCGGATCCTCAGGAGCAGGCACCAGGTGAATCCACTCTGGCTCCGGAGGTGGTTGAGGACTCAGTGCCTACAGATGAGTCTCCCCCTGGGTCCAGTAACCCTTCAGCCTCTCCTGAACTGCAGAGGCTCAGGGCAGAGAGGTGGAGAGAACTGGTTTCTCCCAGGAGGAGTGCTCGCCTTAAGGCCAGGAGAGGTGGGTCTCCTGGGGGCCGGGACCACCCCTGGCCTCAGAGAAGATAAAGGCCAGTCAGCCTGGTCCCAGGTTGCGGGAGCAACGTCGTTGAAGAGCTGTTTCGGCCAGCATCCAGTCCTGTTCCCCCAGAGTTCCTGTCCTTGCCCGGCTCCTCGCTGCGAATTCGCCCAGTCCTCGCTGCGAATTCGCCCAGTCACTGTCAGGGCGTATTGATTTATTGCTCAGATAAGCGTCCTGCACGCTTCCCATCGCAGGCCTCTGCATTCCAAAGTCCGACACAACTGAGCATAGCAGAGATCGACAGCGGTAAGAGAAAGACTGCAAAGAAAACTCCAGTGCCTTCTTCAGTGTGCTTAAATAAAGTCCACTCAGGATCTTAGCAGCTAAAAGCAGTTTTATTTACAGCAGACTATCCATTATCTATCACAGCGAACAGCATCGTGAAAACACGTCCTCTCTCCTCAAAAGCGAAAGTAGAGAGAAAGAAACAAAGGCTTGAGGCTCTCAGAAATGACGAACCTCCCCCCTCCCAACAGTAGGCGGGGCGTACACTCTGAGCTGTTTCATAGAATCATAGAATCATAGAATCATAGAATCATAGAGTTGGAAGAGACCACAAGGGCCATCGAGTCCAACCCCCTGCCAAGCAGGAAACACCATCAGAGCACTCCTGACATATGGTTGTCAAGCCTCTGCTTAAAGACCTCCAAAGAAGGAGACTCCACCACACTCCTTGGCAGCAAATTCCACTGTCGAACAGCTCTTACTGTCAGGAAGTTCTTCCTAATGTTTAGGTGGAATCTTCTTTCTTGTAGTTTGGATCCATTGCTCCGTGTCCGCTTCTCTGGAGCAGCAGAAAACAACCTTTCTCCCTCCTCTATATG